GGGAGTGTGCCAGAAATCTTATGATGCCTCAGAAAAGCTCATTCTTAAAGGTAAATTTCGTGCTCTTTAAGACTCCAAGTCAAAAGACAGTTTCCCCTTTCAAAAGAAAAATCGTAAAAAGAGAAAAAGAAAGAAAGAAAAGGAAACTAAGAGCCTAAAGAGTCTTAGAAGCCGAAATCATTTGAGCCAAGGCATTAGGTATTAACTTAAGGAGTTATGGATTCACAAATGGACAAAAATCCAAGTCTGGGAGAATTATAAGGAGAACCTGAAGAAAGGAAATCAGAAATCTTAAAGCAAAGAGAATGTGACTGAAACTGTGGAGGCATTTACAGTTCCATCCTCTCTTGCTGTTTTGCATAATGTCTTGTCTCTCCAGAAAAAGGTAACCCTAAACACATCAAGCCTTACCATTAAAAAGCCTTTTGATACCTAACCTAGAATGCCTTGTTTAATATCCTTTTGATGAGAATCACTGAAACCTTAATGAATGTTAAGAGCTAGTTGACTGGAAGTTAGTTCTAAGTGTGTGGATTTTTGCATGACGGATTAACGGACTAGTTATGTTTGTATTTCGGTGAGAATTTTCTAGACTTGATCTGATTGATGCATTGTCCATAATTAAGGTCTAGAGAGTATGATTGCTGATATTTTTGAGTTCCCTCTCATGTCTATTGAATGATATTTTTCCAGATTAGATCTTGTTTTGTTTGAGGACAAACAAAGTCTTAAGTCTGAGGGAGTTGATAACACCTGATTTTGACCCATTTTCACCATTGATTTCAAATGCTTTTTCAAAGGTTTTAATCAGTTTTAGGAACTTTTATTATGATTTCCATGTATTTGTAGTTTCAAGGCTCTTTTCAGGAAACTTAGGGAAAATGATGGCAAAATGGAAGAAATCCACTTTTCTAGCTCAGAGTCAAACCGTCAGAAGTTCAGCCTCAAATGAAGACTTTCTCACCGTCTGATCCAGCTCAAATTTGGATATAATCAAGAGGCGACAACCAGCTTTCCATAGCACTTTACATCACAAAGATCCTACGGTGCAAGCAAAAGATACATGGAGAACAAGTTGACCCAGTTCACCAGTCCCTGAAGACTCTCACCCGCGGAAAACACAAGTTTTACCTGCCCTAGAAGACTCTCACCCCCGGTGGACCTTAGGACGAGCCACAAGGCCCAACATCAAAGCCCACTTCGCCATTCCTCTTCAGAAAAACCCTAAATGAGACCTGAAAGACTTTAGGACCTATAAATACATTGTTTAGCAGCCATAAACGGGTGTGTGCTCCTGTAATGAGATTTTGAGCCACCAACTTTGTTTTTCTAGGGTTAGGCGATGGAGATGGGGATTCTTCCCCAAATCCATTGTTCTTTCTCCTTTTTATCTTATTAAGTTTTCTGTTTCATTCTTTTGCATTCTTCTATGTCTTTTATCATTCATTGCATCATGTAGATTAGTTCCAGAGAGTCAAGTTGTTTTTAAGATTTCAAAAGGCATACATATCGACTAGGATTTCTATAGTTCTAAACCATATTCTGGATCTCATCTCTTCTAATTTTTTCATATTGCATGAAAGTAGATTCATAACCTATTCTCTGAGCCCAGGATCGATCAGAGCCACGAGAGTGTTGTATCAGATCATCCATACCTAGCTTCAGAAGAACATAGTCGCTATAGGAGTCAAGAGCTACCTATAGAGAAGATGTGAGCAGATGAATTCAGTGTCTAATGCATGATCTTATTTTTGACATGAGAGCGAGAGTTAATTGTCAGATCTGAGTGATTAGTTGATTAAGATTATGAGAGTTGGTTAATCATACATATGTCTATTCTAGTTCCATGCAGATCCCAAAAACAGATGAAGATAAATCGCCTAGAAGCTAATTTGAGATGCCATCATACATCGATTAGAGTAAACTGGAGAAGTCTAAGTCGCCACATATGAGTTTAAGAGTTTATAGTTGAGTCGATATGCTTGAGATATTCTTTTAACAATTCATCATGCATTGCATCTTATTTCTTGTGAATATAAAATTAGGTTTAGTTTAGGATTCTTAACCAAAAACCCCAAAACTTTTATTGGTTTATGACTTTGCTTACTTCCAAGTTTGTTGTTTCTTGCAGATTAGACATCCTCCCTATGGATCGACACCCTAAGTCTACAATGTACATCTGTGCACTTTCAGATTTTAGGGTTTTATAATTTTAAAACTTTCTTTATGGACCAATGGGCTTGTATGAAAAACAACCCTGCGCCCGTAGCCCATCAGCAGTACGCACCGCATCAATATAAATGGATAATCAAGGGGGAGTGTTATAAATATATTGATTATACATTTGGAATGGCTTTTTCCCCAAGATTCTTAGCTACTAAGTATTCATCCCCCTTGGACATTCATTCCCCTTGGATCACTTTGTCCCCAAGTTTCTAAAACTTTGTCTCCAAGCTTCTCTACTATATATAGGTGAGTCTAGCTTTGTAAATAATACAATCTAGTGAGAGAAATAAGAAGAGATCTTTGATATTGTTCTTTATTCTCCAACTCCCTCTCTAAGTCCCTCCTCTTTAGTACTTACTGTTGGAAGTGAAAACCGCACCCTCGGTTTTCTCCGGTATAAATCAAGATCGGCACGAATTAAGCCCAGTTTACAAAGAAATTGTACCGAGAAAATTGGGCCGGGCGAGTCCTTGGGCCGAACAAAGCCCAATAAACCAGAGTCGGTCGAAACTTCTCGAAGGAACCGAAAAGAATCCAGAGTTCGGATGAAATAGGAAAGTTTCCGAAAAGAAAAAGGAAACTATAGAGAGAAAAAGGAAACTTCAGAGAGAAAAGGAAGGTCTCCTCGGTCCCATATCGAAGAGACGCTCTGAGAAGACCGACTTAGAAGGTATATATAAAGGAAGAGGAATCGACACCAAAAGACACAAGAAATTCCCGAGAGACTTAGAGACGGAGAACTCAAGACATTCATTAGCTTCTTCGTTTCTTAAGTCTTAGTTCGTTTATCACTCACATAAACGAACTCAGTTGTATTTTTGACCGATCTAATAAAATACAAATTTCTGATCTAAATTACTGTTTTGTCCCTTGTGTGATATTCATATATCAACAATTGGCGCGGCAGGTAGGGGCTTAACAGAAAATTCAGTTTTAGATCGGATTACGGAAAAGATCGATCCAACGATGACCGACCCTGTCAACACCCAGCATGAAGAAAACCCTCTCAACCAGGGGAACGGCGACAACCGAGCTCCCGTGGAGGAAACGGAAGGAACCCCCGGCGAAACTGTCGGAACCGGAATTGGGAAAACTCCCCCAGGAGCCCTTGGAACAGAATTGCTATTCCAAGTGTTCAATGCACAGTTCGAAGCTATCAACAAAAGGAGCAAAGAATGGTTCAGCCAGATGGCGGCTCAGATTGCAGAGCTCAGCCAAACCCGAACTCTGCTGCGGACTCGGAACATCATCGACGACCTCAACACAGAGAATGATCCAACACCACCAGACCTGAGTCGTGACGCCGAGTTCGAAGCAATGAAGGCACAACTCCGCCAGATCACTTCAAAGATTCACCAGGCAACGAGTGCTGCACCAGAGAACGATCGGGTCATTCAGGATATGCAGAAGACACCCTTCACACCGCGCATAGCCGGAACGCCCGTCAGGCACCTGGTGAAGCTCAAAATCAAGACCTACAAAGGCAACACCGACCCCTGATACTTTTTGATCTCGTTCAGAATCTGCATGAACCGGTACCTGTTCAGGTCAGCCAAGGAGAAGGACGCAGTCCAGTACCAGCTGTTTGTCGAAAGTTTGGGAGGAATAGCCCTCGACTGGTTCTCGCGACTCGAGGCAAACTCAATAAACAATTACAAGGAACTTACAACGGCATTCGTCAAACACTTCTCCATGTTCATCGAACAGAACACCAAGAACTCTGAGCTATGGCAGATAGCTCAAGACGCAAATGAGAGCCTTCGCAACTTTATGCACCACTTCGAAACGATAGTCGCCCACTGCACGATCATCAACAAAGCCGCTCTCTTATGTCTACAGAAGGGAGCTCGGATAAAAAAGAAGCTTCCGAAGCGCAATCAAACAAAATCCCCCGCAGACCTTGGAGGACGCACTACACCGAGCTAACACTTATATTGCGGAAGAAGAGGAGGAAGCAGCCCACAAACAGAGCTACGCGGCAAAGCAACCCAAACGACCAAAGACCGACACTTATGAACTACAATCAGATTACGGAAGAGGGTACGAGAATCGCAAAAAATTATACGCCAACGCCATCCAACAACCAACCAAGCAGTAGAAAACCAAGTGGATCCGTAGTGACGAAGACCAAGACGAATCGCTGTTCTCCGAATTCCACAATTGCAAAGGACATAGCACCGAAGACTGCAGACACCTGCGGGAATACTTGCTTGCATAGTACCGGAAAGGGCAAATTTCACTTGATGACTTCCACCGTTTAACCGCCCAGAGATTCAGGTCACCCCGGCCTAACAATACACAACCCGAGAATACTGTTGCAAAGGATCTACCGGCTTCGCCACCGCCTCTGCTGAATCCACCCGCCCAGCCTGAGCAACCGAAACGTAATCGCGATGAGCAAGCACCAGAGAACCATACCCCCAAAGCTAGGAAACGCGTCAACATGATCATGGAAGATATCGAAGCCTGCACCTATTTAGTCCGGGCCATCACCGAGTACAGTAGACAGGCCTCAACCGCACTTAAACTCTTGCACGATCCTCCAAAGGGAACCCCTTTGATATTCACTGAAGCCGACACAATCGGATTGCATAAGCCGCACAACGATGCTCTCGTTGTCGAACTCCTTCTTGACGACGTCGAAGTTAGCCGTATCCTCATCGATACCGACAGCTCGGTCAACATAATTTTCAAAGACGCGCTCGACCAGCTCGACATCCCATCTGACAAAATCGAACCTTGAGCCTCTCATAGGATTTGATGGCGAACGTTGTATGATAGTTGGCACGGTGAAAATCCCGACCTATCTTGCCAGAGTTGCGAAGATCATCCAGTTCCTCATCCTCAACAAATTGGCAATCTACAACGCCATCCTCGATACACCTTGGCTCCACGCAATGAAAGCAGTTGCCTCCACATACCACCAGTGCCTCAAATTCCCAACTCCATACGGCATTTACACCCTCCGAGGCAACCAAGCCATCGCCCGATCGTGCTACATCAATAAGTGCAAGCTTCGCTCAGCCAATCAAGCTTGCGTCATCAGCTCGCAGGGCCCGACCGCCGACCTCATTGTCCAAAAAACGAAGCCTAAGCAGGAAACCATCACCCAAGTCTGCATCGATGAGCTGCGACCAAAACGCCAGATCAGTATCGGCGCCGAGCTCGACCCAAAGATCCCTGACACCCTCGTTCATTTCCTGAAGCAACACTCATCCACTTTCGCATGGTCAATTGAGGACCGATCGATCCACAGATCGCCTGTCACGAGCTCAACATCGACCCGACTTACAAACCGATCAAACAGAAGTGCCGAAAACTTGGACCAGAAAAGGCACAAGCCGTTGATGAGGTTAACGATTACTAAAGGCAGGCTCAATCACAAAGGTCAAATACCCCGACTGAGTTGGAAAACCCCATGGTCATTAAAAAGAAGAACGGCAAATAAAGAATTTATGTCGACTTCACCGACCTCAATAAAGCGTGCCCCAAAGACAGTTTCCCTTTGGATCGATCGCCTTGTCGAAGCAACCGCTGGGAACGAACTCCTCTCCTTCATGGATGCATTCTTTGGATACAACCAGATCCTCATGCACCCCCAAGACCAGGAGAAAACGTCATTTATCACAGATCACGACATATACTGCTATAAAGTTATGCCCTTCGGCTTGAAGAACGCAGGCGCAACGTACCAACGTCTAGTCAACCGAATGTTCGCAAGCCAACTCGGCCGGACCATGGAAGTCTATATCAACGATATGCTCGTCAAGTCACTTGTCGCCACTGATAACGTCGGCCACCTCCGTACCTGTTTCGATATTCGCGATGGAAGGAAGTTTAACCCCACCAAGTGCACCTTCGGCGTAACATCGGGCGAATTCCTTGGGTACATCGTCACTCAACGAGGCATCGAAGCTAATCCAAAGCAGATCGCATCTATACTCGAACTCCCGTCTCCAACAACCAAACGTGAAGTTCAACGGCTAACTGGACGTATTGCGGTACTCAATCGATTTATATCCCGATCAACGGACAAGTGCTTACTGTTCTACACCCTCATCCGTGGAAATAAGCACTTAGAGTGGAACCAAAAGTGCGAGGAAGCTTTTACCAAAATCAAAAAGTACCTGTCAACTCCCCCAGTCCTATCCAAGCCCGAGACCGGCGAGACGCTTTACCTTTATATTGCGATCTCAGAATATGCCGTCAGCAGCGTACTCGTTCGAGAAGACAGAGGCGAGCAGAAGCCAATCTTCTACATCAGCAAGTCCCTTCACGGCTCAGAATATCGATATCCCACCTTGGAGAAATTCGCCTTCACCGTGGTTATCTCAGCACGAAAGCTACGCCCTTACTTCCAGTCACACGCCATCGTCGTGTTGACCGACCATCCACTTCGCACCTTCCTCCACGGCCCAAACCAGTCGGGCTAACTCGCCAAATGGGCCATCAAACTAAACGAATATGACATCGAATACCAAGGCAGAACCGCGATAAAATCCCAAGTCTTAGCAGACTTTTTAATCGAACTGCCACCAGAGCTCGTGGAAGCGAATCCGGCTATACAACCATGGATACTCCACACCGACGGCTCTTCTCCCCATAAGGGATCTGGCATCGGCATTCGCCTCAAATCCCCCAATGGCGAAATCCTCGAACAATCATTTCATCTCGGCTTCCCCGCATCAAACAACGAGGCCAAGTACGAAGCAGTTATTGTCGGGTTACGCCTCGCCAAAATAATCGGCATCGAACATATCCATGCCTACTGCGACTCTCAAATGGATGCATACCTAAAAATCCTCAAAGACCTTGCTTCAGAATTCTCGACCTTCGAACTCACAAAGATACCGCGGGACGAGAACGCCTCTGCTGATGCTCTGGCTGCTCTCGCAACTAACTCTGATCCCGACCTCCGGCGAACAATTCCAGTTGAGGCAATCGAGCGACCTAGTATCGAACTTGCTCCGTATGCAATATTATTACGAGACGCCGCGACTATGAAGCCCATCCCAACCTTGCACCACGCCTCACCAGAAAAAAAAAAACTAAGGAAGTTGTCACCGATCTCGACGTTGATATGAATGAACAAAGCAACAACGAGTCCAATCCAGACAATGAGTCTGAAGGACAACACGTCCCACTCGACATCGAAGCTGAGGGCGATGACGAGCCAGAGGTCTGGACTTTGGAAATCGTTGGATATATTGGCAATGGAACGGTCCTTACAGACAAATGGGCAGCTCGGCGGCTTAAGGCTCGAGCAGCTTGATATGTGGTCATTAAAGGCACTCTCCTTCGATGGGACGCATCCGGCACACTTTTGACTTGTGTTCACGGCAACGACATCATGAAATTTATGCAGAAAGTGCATGAAGGAGAAGGAGGAAATCACTCTGGAGCTCGCTCTTTGGCATTCAAGATCAAAAAAGCCGGCTATTCTTGGTCCACTATGCTCTCGAATTGCGAGAAATACGCCGCACGATGTGAGAAGTGCCAATGTCACGGGCCGATGATAAACCTTCCTACCGAACTCCTAATGACCTCCACCGCACCATATCCCTTTATGCGCTGGGCAATGGATATCATCGGCCCGTTTCGACGATCTACAAGCTAGAAACAGTACTTTCATGTCGTTACCGATTATTTCATTAAATGGGTTAAAGCCGAGGCGTATCCTGAGATCGTCACGGACAATGGCACTCAGTTCACTTCCATAACTTTTACCAATTTCTGCGCCAAGTGGAAAATCCGCCTAAGTTTTTCCACTCCGAGGTACCCGCAAGGAAACGGGCAAGCCGAAGCCACATACAAAACATTATCGATGGCCTGAAAAAGTGTCTCGATACGGCAAAGGGGACATGGGCGGACGAACTCGACGGCGTCTTATGGTCTCACCGAACTATTCCGTGACGTTTTACCGGTCAATCACCTTTCTTTCTCGTGTATGGTACGGAAGCTATGTGTCCTGCCAAACTCAACGTTTCTAGTATTCGCCGAACTATGCTCACTCAGCAGCCCGACGTTAACAAATACATGATGCTCGACACAATCGACTTAGTCGAAGAACACCGCGAACGAGCGTTACTCAAGATACAAAACTACCAATAACTGGCAGCTTGTTACTACAACAAAAAGGTTAAAGGCCGTCACTTCGAAGATGGTGATCTCGTACTTCGCAAAGTTCCAGAATACCAAAGAAAATAACGCAGGAAAACTAGGTGCGAACTGGGAAGGACCATATCAAGTCATGAAAGTCGTTAAACCTGGCATTTATCAACTAATGAAGCTCGACGGAATCCCGATCCCAAGATCCTGGGATTCAATGCATCTTAAACCATATTACTACTAGGTCGTTATTCCGATCTACAAAAAAAAAACCCTTCGAACTACTTAGTTCAGAGAGGACACCTTTTGTACTTAGAACTACAAATGGCTTGATCCCTTTCAAAAGGGTACGTAGGCAGCTCGTCACCGAGTCCAGGTATAACAACAATAAAATTTTATTAAATAAAAACGTCTAAGTTTTAGTTCGGTACTCACGAAATACCGAACTCCTACTTTACCTACATCGACTTCCTGACCAGTTGTTCGATAGCATTCCGCATGAGTGCAAACTTAAAAAGTCGAGATCCGTCTCGCTAACACCCACACGGTGCCGTGGTAAACTCCACATTATAAAGCCGGGGCCAGTCCCGCACTAAAAAATCTAAGTCACCAAGAACAATAAGCCGAGCCTATCTCGCATACTTAGGTTTGACTTAGAAAACCTTGAGCTCGTGTCATGCATTTACAAGAGTTCGACCAACTCACTCTTCCAATGCGATACGACTCATTTGGGTTCCCCAGGCCGAGCTCAATGCTTGCACCCAAAGCCAAACTCCTCAGATTCGCACCATAAGCCAATTTCTCAACACTTGCACATATAAGCCGAGTTAACGCAACTCGCTACAGAAAATTAAATTAAGTTCGAACTAAATTCATTAAAAACCGATCTGTTACTTAGCAAATTTGGCTTATGACAAGAAAATAATAAGAATATACTCTACGCAGAATAATAAAGCCAGATAGATAATGAAAACCCACCAAGGGCAAACGAGTTCAAAAATCAAAACCCACAGAGATTGAAAAAGCATACAAAATATAAAGACCCATAAAAGGGCAATTGAGTTCGATTCAAAGAGAAAGAGAGACAAGGAGAATAAACAGTCTTAGAAGCAGCGGTTTGAACCGCATTGATCATGTCATCGTTCAAGCCGAACTGCTCGACTCCTGCCTGATCTTGTTCTCCTCCGATTGGAATATCGGCAGGAGCTTCCTCGTCAGCCTCAGGGAACGGCGACATCCGCTTGTTCTCTTCAGTAAGGACGTGCGCGTCGACCGAACAAAATTCTTTCAGCGCTGCTGCATGCTTAGCCTCGAGCTCCGCCACCATCTCGGAAGAGACCTTGTATAGACCTTTGTTCTTCAACTTCTTGATGAAGCCGAGAACGCCGGTAAGCTGATTCACTACCAGATAAGCCTTGTGAGCACGATCAGCGTCGTCCAAACTTCGGATGACTTTCTATAACCGATCTCTCCAGAGAGCAACCAAACCTTGCAGCCGCTCCTTGTCTCGTTTGAACTCCCGAGAAATAAGAGCTTGGGCTTCCGTCAGTTCAGCCTTGACGGCTTTAAGTTCCGAGCTCTCTTGCTTCAGCAGATCAATAGCATTACGGAGCTCTTCATGAAGCTCGGTAGCAAGACGGTCGTCGACCTAGGAGATCCGATCCTCCAGCTCTGCCACTCTCATATGCTTGTCGTATAGAGCAACTTCATATCCCGCGACCAAAGTATTGGTCTGACTAGCGAGCTGCAAGTAAAAACAAAGTCAGAACTGAAACTTCGGAAAGAAATAAAAAAAAAAGAGAAGAAAGGGATAAGCCAGAAAATTACCACGGCAGTTGTATTCGCGATTCCTTTATACAAATGGGGGAATCGGAGTTCGGAGATCTTCGGAAGACTTGGGACCTCGCTCGAGATCTTGTGGTACAGATCGGCGCAGGCATCGATATTGTCCTCAAAAGGAACCTCTTCGTCATAGTTAAATCAGACCTTGGCCCTTTTAGCCGGTTCTGGCTCAGGAGAGTGCTCAGCACGATCTCTTTCTTGCCTCTTCTGGGAGCTCGAGGCTTCAGGCTGATCCCGAGGAATCGCAAGGTCCGATGTCGTGGGAATCAGAGGATTGAGTTTTGCGGCAGCATCTTGGGCCCGAGAAGAACCTTCAATCCTCTTGATTTTCTTTGAGGACTTCTTCTTCTTCAATTTCTTCTGACCGGCTTGGTCAGGTGAGTTCGCGGCCAGTGGCACTTCATCGTTTTGCTCTGCGACCCCTTCGGTAGTGGGGACGGGGTCTGGAACCGCATTGTTCGGCTCTTCCTCAACGAACAGGTTAGGAATCTCGGTGAGTGAAAGCATGTTGGAAGTCTGAGTTCGTTTGGCTCGTGGCTTTGGTGTTTTCCGTCTAGGAGGAGGACGAGGCTTTCTAGCTCGGCTCTTTGGCTTCAGAGGCTTCGGTTCCCTGGCAGAAGCTGAAAAGCGGGATAAAATACGTAAGGAGGAGTTCGGAAAAATTCAAGTAGAAGAAGAAAAATAATTAAGTAGTTTTACATGATTTCTTAGCTCGGCGTTGAAGTAAAAGACTTGGAAGGTGACGACCTGCGAAGATAGGCCAAAAAAGAGTTAGAAAAATATGCAAGCAGAAATCAAAAGTAAAATGAGATCGTCTAAATCTACCGATCGGAATCTTCCACTCCGACTGATTAGGGATGTCAGCGTGACTAACTGTGAGCTCGTTAATTTTGAGAAAGAAATATTGGGAGTCCCAGTAATTGTATTTATTGGGATTCCCAGTCACTGTGAGCTCCTTCTGCGGTTTAGCAATTGCCGCGAAGACGCATGAAGATTAACCGAAAAAAGGTCTTCAAAAAGTCGGCTAGTTGGATCCTCATTGAGATGGGCGCACAAAGTCCGAAAGCCTGTGTAGTTTGTCATTGACGCTGGCATCATCTAAGTGAGAGCTACACATCGCAAGTTGCAGTCACCGAGAAGACAGGAAGGAATCGGAAAGGTGAGCCCACATTGCGTGAAGTAGGTCAAGTAGATGCAGAGGAAGTCCTCGGGAACGTCCCATGGGCGATCTCCAGTGTCGGGAGTAATGAAGACAGCCCCCTCTGTGATACAAATCTCCTAAGACCGGACACACTTGGGCAATGGAGGTTGATAAATCCTTGGCTAGATCAGATGCACGGAGTAGATGCTAAGGCGTGAGAGTGTGAACTCCAGAAAATCTCTGGGCCCAGACTCACGGTGATCGTCACAAACAAGGGGATGGCTGCACCGAGTTAAGAATCCGTGGATCTAGGATGACAAGGCGTGAGAACAAGTTCCTGAAAATCCTTGTGCCCCTAAAACTACTTGAACGAATTACTTAAGCTAGATTGATCGAAGGCTGCGTTGAGTCCGATGAAAAATAACTCAATAAACCGAAAGAAAAGATTCATGAGGCTGACCACCTAAGAATCGAAAACAGTTCTCAAAAGAACAAAGAGAAAATCTCAAAATTTTATTAAGTTGAAAGTGAATGAGTTCCAGAATGAGAATACATCGCGTTTAAATAGAAGGGAAAGCAGGCGAAGATCCATGCTTAGGAAATAACTAAAAACATAAATGTTTTGACTAAAAAAAGAAAATGTTGAATAACTCTTCGGCTGGCCCTGGACCGACTTGGAGTTTTTTGCGAGCAAAAGCCGGAGGATTGCTTGTCGAATTAGAGGAGCTTGTTGAAGAAGAGCTCGGCTCTGAAGGATCATGACGATCCTCCGGGAGGATTTGATGAGAAGAAGATTTGATTGAAGAATCGGAAGACATTTTTAAGATCGGTTAGTTGAGGTCGGAAGAAGATTTGAAGAAAGGTTGAAGAAAATGACGAACAGATTGAAGATTGATCGAAAAAGTTTGAATAAGGATCGGAAAACTTGAAGATTGATCGGAAAATTTGAAGATCGATCGGAAAGTGTGAATAAGGATCGGAAAACTTGAAGATTGATCGGAAAACTTGAAGATCGATCGGAAAGTTTGAAGAGCGCGGAGAAGATAGAGAGAACTAAAGAGAGCTAGGGATGAAAAAACTGGAGAGAGAAGTAAGAGAGAAGGAAGAGCGGCGTACCTTATATATGCTGATGCTGGGATAATGAATGCAAGGTAAGTTCATCCTTACAAATAAACAGTGAGAATCGTGGTTTCTTGATTTCCGTGAAATTCTGGAATTCACGCGCTTAATTCGAATTATGAAACGACCAGGAAAACGATGGACCAAATTTTCTGAGCTCGATTTGTAACCTAATTTTGAAAAACGACTTGAATGAGTTCGACTAAAAGCAACCCCCATTTGCCGAACTGAGGGGGGGGGGGGCTAACTGTTCGGTTTGTCCATCGGTTTGAGGGTGACAGGTGGTGGAACTTGGTATCCCTATCAGAGACTATGGTTCTAGGTACACCATGCAACCTAACAATTTACCTAAAGAACAAATCGGCTACATTAGATGCATTATCTTTTTTATGACAAGGGATAAAGTGGGCCATTTTCGAAAATCGATCTACAACCACAAAGACTGAGTCTCGTCCTTTCCCAGTTCTCGGTAGACCTAAGACAAAGTCCATAGAAATATCGGACCAAGGTGAACTAGGGATGGGTAATGGCGTGTACATACCTGGTGGCTGGCTTTTGGTTAGCAAACTTACAAGTAATACACCGGCTACAGATCCGTTCCAAGTCCCTTTTTATATGTGGCCAGAAGAAATGGTCTTGGAACACACTAAGAGTCTTGGTAACGCCAAAGTGTCCCATTAAGCCGCCACCGTGTGCTTCCCTAACCAAAAGGTCACGAAGTGAAACATTAGGTATGCACAATCGGTTTTCATAAAATAGAAAGTCATCATTTCTAAAGTATTTGCCATTAGCAGATTTAGAACAAGTTTGATAAACTTCCTGGAAGTCTGGGTCAGAAGCATAAGATTCTTTTATCATCTCAAAACCGAGTATCTTGGCATCCAAAGTGGAGATCAGTCCATTTTGCGTGTCGCTTGTTCAGTTTCTGTTGCCCCTTAAGATGTTTTAGCGAATGGTGATCTGTGTGGATCACAAACTCCTTTGGCCAGAGATAATGTTGCCAAGTCTATAGAGCGCGAACAAGGGGATAGAGTTCCTTGTCGTACATGGAGTAGTTCAATGTGGCTCCACCCAGCTTTTCACTGAAATAAGCTATGGGCCGCTTTTCCTGAGTCAGGACCGCACCGATACCTATACCTCAAGCATCACACTGGATTTCAAAAGTTTTAGTAAAATCAGGTAAAGTGAGTAAAAGGGCGTGAGTAGGCCTGTCTTTTAGGAGCTGGAAAGCTTCATCCTGGCCGCGTCCCATTTAAAGCCAACATTCTTCTTTATGACCTCGGTGAGTGGGGCGGCGAGTGTGCTGAAGTCCTTGACAAACCGTCGATAAAATCCGGCCAAGCCGTGGAAGCTCCTAACCTCACCAACGACACTATCTGCACATAAGGTATACTAGGCCACTCCTGAATCGCCTTGATCTTTTCCTCATCCACCTGGATTCCATTAGCTCCTACAACAAAACCTAGAAAAATGACACTATCTGCACAGAAGGTATACTTTTTCAGGTTACCAAAAAGCCGTTCCTTCCTAAGTACTTCTAGCACCATTCGCAAGTATTCTAAGTGTTCGACCAAGGTCTTGCTGTAAACCAAGATGTCATCAAAGTACACGACAACAAAGACACCTATAAAAAATCGCAAGACATGGTTCATGAGGCGCATAAAGGTGCTGGGCGAGTTAGTCAAACCGAAAGGCATGAAAAGCCATTCGTATAAACCGTGCTTGGTTTTAAAGGCTGTCTTTCACTCGTCTCCCTCCTTCATCCGTATTTGATGATATCCACTTTTTAGATCTATCTTAGAAAACATGCAAGACCCGTGAAGTCCATCAAGCATATCATCTAAATGGGGAATGGGATGTCGATACTTTACCGTTATGTTGTTTATGGCCCGACAGTCAACGCACATGCGTCATCATCCGTACTTCTTTGGCACAAGCAGAACCGGGACCGCACAGGGATTCATGCTCTCCCGAATGTGTCCTTTCTCCATGAGCTCTCCGACCTGTCTTTGTAGCTCCATGGTTTCGACAGGGTTAGTTCGGTATGCGGGTCGGTTAGGCAGAGAAGCACCTGGAATGAAGTCTATCTGGTGTTCAATCCCGCGTATAGGTGGCAAACCGCTGGGGCTCTCATCCGGAAAAACATCCTTAAATTCCTGCAAGAGGGGTAAGACACTGCTCGAAAAATCCGGTTGTGGGTCAGTTAGGCTAGCCAAAGCAGATTTAAACATGAGTAGGACGAGAGATTGTTTGGTGTGCACCGCGTGCTTAAGCTCACAAGATCTTATGAAAAAGGTCTCTTTACTCACGAGTGTTCTCTCAAAGGCCTTTTCTGGGGGTTCTCTCAGACTCTCATTTTTGGTTGTGGTGTTTGAGGGCTCACTCACAATACTCTTTCCTTTGCTGGTTTGCTCAAGTTTTACTGATCCAGGTATACATCTCGTGGTGACAAAGGCGCCAGGGTGATCTTTCGGCCATGGTGTTCAAACGTGTGCTTGTTGGTGAATCCGTCATGAATGGCCTTTTTATCAAACTGCCATGGACGATCTAAGAGGATATGACCCGCTTCCATAGGCAATACATTGCAAACTACCTGATCTTCATATCGGCCAATGGACAAGGGTATCGTCACCTGTTTGGTCACCTTCAACTGTCTTTGGTTGTTTAACCAACGGAGGCTTTAGGGCTGTGGGTGCTAGTGTGTCTCCAGACCGAGCTTCTCCACCATAGTGGTACTAGCGACATTCGTACAACTTCCATCATCGATGATAAGGCTGCAAACCTTTCCCAGCACATGCCACGGTGTGTGGAACAGGTTCTCCCGTTGGTCTTCCACTTTTACCGGTTCCTGGGCTATTTAAACTCGCCTTGCAACTAACAGCTCTCCCTCGGCTGCATATTCCTCATCGTCTTCATCATTATATTTAGGACCAGTGTCTTCTTCTTCCTCGGACACAATCTCACCTGAATCAAGAATCAACATGGCATGCTGATTAGGACACTTATTCGCGTAATGCCCTTTACCTTGGCATTTAAAGCACTCGATGTCTCGCGTCCTGGCCGGTGTAGCCTCGGCTTTTCCTCGGTAGTCAGCTGTGGAGGAACTTGGCTTGGTTTCTGGTTTAGGCCGTGTATCGGACCGGGCTGGATAAGTGGCTTTGTCTTCTCAGTAGTTCGGCCGAGAGCTGGTTCCATAGGTGGGTCGAGAGGTTCTTTTCCTCTTGAACTGTTGTTCCACCAATATGGCCTTGTGCAACATCTCGGGTAAGCTCGCGTACTCCTGTAACTCTATTCGGTCTTGTAGATCCCTGTTCAGACCACTTAGAAATCGGGCCATGGTCGCGTCCGTTGTCTCATCCAAATCGCCCTTTAGCATAAGCTGTTCCATTTCTTGGAAATAATCTTCCACGGTTTTTGTTCCCTGAGTCAATCATCGGAGTCTAGTGTGCAGCTCCCGGTTATAGTGGGCTGGAACAAACCTGTGTCTCATCAGGGCTGCCATCTCATCCCAGGTATAGGTCGGAACCCATTTCTTTTTCGGTTAGTCATCACCTGGTCCCACCAGTCAACCGCGTATCCGTGGAACTCAGTCGCGGCCAAATTCATCTTCTTTTGCTCGGAGAAATTTTGACACCCGAATACCAGCTCGATCTTCTTCTACCACTCCAGGAAAGCATCCAGATCGTTCTTCCCGTAGAACGGTGGAATTCGGAGTTTCATTCCGGCGAGGTCGTTATCAGGTCGGCTTTGGTCACAGCCTGGGTCGTTCTGCTCGTCCCGTCGGTATGGTGGATCTTGGTCATCAACTTCTGAGTTTTGCCGGTTGCGGTTTTGTCTGCGTGGTTCATGCATGCGGAACTGACCTCCACGACCTTGGTGAGCACCTCGGTCATACCGTTTCCTGGGCCGGCTTGCTCCTGACTTGTGATCATCATCATAGAAGGGATTGTCTAAGACCTCTCCCTGATTTCGATCCCTCCTCAATATATTCTGGTTCCTCTCGATCCTGGTGACTGTTTTGTATTCCATCAGATTGTCGGGGCTGCCATTCCAACCGATCCATTCGTTGATTCATGCACTCCATCAGCTTAGTGATTTGGGTAAGCTTAGCATCCATGGATTGATCCAACGAATGTGGTTTCCGTCACGAAAAGTGTAGTAGTCCCACTCTCTGCCTGAATCTGAATAAGGGCCTGATGACATAAAAGTTGGTACCTCGCAAAAAAAAAATAAACAAACACGTTAGTATCAAAATCTCCTCTATTGGGTGTTTTTCTCTTGAATTCACTCACACTCGCAATAATCTCACTATCACACAAGAGATTTCTCTCGGTTCTAATCGGAACTTATATCGAAACTAAATGTAGCACTCAAGAACAAGTTCAAAACCAATCGATCCCAAGAAAAGATAGGTAGAAAAGAGTTTGTTTCAACAGATCTTTCTTTCTTTTTTTTTTGACTTTTCACCCTCTTTTTTTTTATTCTTTTCGTTTTCTTCTCTTTTTAAAAAAAAAAAATAGATCTGGAAATTACAGAAGAAAGAAAGAGAAGAAGGAATTTAAGAAAAAGACTAAGATAGATAATACCGCCTTTGACAAGTGTGTGGCTCTGATACCACTTGATACGAATCTCCTAAGACCGGACTCACTTGGGCAATGGAGGTTGATAAATCCTTGGCTAGATCGGATGCACGGAGTAGATGCTAAGGCGTGAGAGTGTGAACTCCTGAAAATCTCTAGGCCCAGACTCACGGTGATCGTCACAAACAAGGGGATGGCTGCACCGAGTTAAGAATCTGCGGATCTAGGATGACAAGGCGTAAGAACAAGTTCCCGAAAATCCTTGTGCCCCTAAAACTACTTGAACGAATTACTTAAGCTAGATTGATCGAAGGCTGCGTTGAGTCCGATGGAAAATAACTCAATAAACCGAAAGAAAAGATTCATGTGTCTGACCACCTAAGAATCGAAAACAGTTCTCAAAAGAACAAAGAGAAAATCTCAAAGTTTTATTAAGTTGAAAGTGAATGAGTTCCAGAATGAGAATACATCACGTTTAAATAGAAGGGAAAGCAGGCAAAGAGCCATGCTTAGGATATAACTAAAAATATAAATGTTTTGACTAAAAATAAAGAAAACGTTGAATAACTCTTCGACTGGCCCTGGACCGACTCTTGAACTTTTTTGCCGAGAATTACTCTTAAGCTTCCATCCCATGAATCAGACCGTAAACGAACCTAGGTCGAGAGTTAGGCAATGGACTTAACCTCGTTAAAACCCCACCCGGTAAACCCATTGGGACAAACCCGGGTGTAAGGAAAAAGAGTATTAAGTCATCACCCAGACCAGGTTAGTTACAGCCGGCGTTCACAAGCACGGTCACGACCTTCAGTGATGCTGGGTCGTCTGGTCCGGTCTTGTTCCCATTAAGCACAGCTTGAACCGCCCCTGCCAGCTTCTTGGCCCTGGATCGCGTCATGGGTCCTTCTGGTACGGCTAAGTGAGCTTCCGGAACCTCGACTTCTTTATCTGGGTCATGCTCTGGATCCATGATCGTATCACTCTGTGAGTCTGTGGGCCTCAAGTACGGCTCGAATTATCGCTGGAGAAAGAGAGGAAGCAGGCATGTCAGGAGGGCGAATGACCTTTCGCTTCGGCATCGGTGGCGATGCAGCGTTCACCGCGTCGAGATTGTCCTCGGCTTCATTGACCTCGGTGTTGTTTCCTTCAGGAGTCCTCCTCTCGGGCTCAACGACCCCCTCGATCTCATGATCACTGTCACCAACATCTAACCCAACCCGAGCTCCGGTCTCACGGGTTTCAGCTGCTAGCTGTTCAGGCTCTTCTACTCTCGGTTGAGGTCGGCTGCTGCTAGCACCGACTGATTTGGAGTTTTTGCGAGCCAAAGCCGGAGGATTGCTTGTCGAATTAGAGGAGCTTGTTGAAGAAGAGCTCGGCTCTGAAGGATCATGACGATCCTCCGGGAGGATTTGATGAGAAGAAGATTTGATTGAAGAATCGGAAGACATTTTTAAGATCGGTAAGTTGAGGTCGGAAGAAGATTTGAAGAAAGGTTGAAGAAAATGAAGAACAGATTGAAGATTGATCGAAAAATTTTGAATAAGGATCGGAAAACTTGAAGATTAAACGAAAAACTTGAAGATCGATCGGAAAGTTTGAAGAGCGCGGCAGAGAAGATAGAGAGAACTAAAGAGAGCTAGGGATAAAAAAACTGGAGAGAGAAGTAAAACTAGAGAGAAGGGAGAGCGGTGTACCTTATATATGCTGATGTGGAGATAATGAATGCAAGGTAAGTTCATCCTTATAAATAAACAGTGGGAATCGTGGTTCCTCGATTTTTCGCGAAATCCCGGAATTTACGTGCTAAATTCGAATTATGAAACGACCGGGAAAACGATCGACCCGAATTTTCCGAGCTCGGTTTGTAACCTAATTTTGAGAAATGACTCGAATGAGTTCGACTAAAAGCAACCCCCTTTCGCCGAACTGAGGGGGGGGGGAGGGCTAACTGTTGGAGGTGAAAACCGCACCTTCGGTTTTCTCTGGTACAAACCGAGATCGGCATGAATTAAGCCCGGTTTACAAAGAAATTATACCGAGAAAATTGGCCGGGCGAGTCCTTGGGTCAAACAAAGCCCGTTAAACCGAAGTCGGTCGAAACTGCTCGAAGGAACCGAGAAGAGTCCGGAGTTCGGATGAAACAGGAAAGTTTCCGAAAAGAAAAAGGAAAATTATAGAGAGAAAAAGGAAACCTCCGAGAGAAAATGAAAGTCTCCTCGGTCCCATATCAAAGAGACGCCCCGAGAAGACCGACTTAGAAGGTATATATAAAAAAAGAGGAATCGACACCAGAAGACACAAGAAATTCCTGAGAGACTTAGAGACGGAGAACTCAAAACATTCATTAGCTTCTTCGTTTTTTAAGTCTTCGTTCGTTTATCACTCACATAAACGAACTCAGTTATATTTTCGACCGATCTAATAAAATTCGAATTTCCGATCTAAATTACTGTTTTATCCCTTGCGTGATATTCATATATCAAAACTTACATATACTTTATATATATATATATGAACGCCTTCCCGAAATTGTATTTCACAACACAGAAAAAATAATGGTTTGGTTTAGTATCATGATCATTTTTACTATTCTACCAAAATTTTTGGTTTTGTGTTGAAGTTTGGCTGAAATCTAATAATTTTATTTGGTTAATTCAATTGAGTTCCAAAATTTGAAATTTATATATTTTGGTATAAATCAGTTTGACATAATTATTAAAAAACTAAGAAATGATTGTTTCAACAAAGTTGTACTGAACTGATAACTGATCCTGACAGCTGCTGATCGGTTGAGATCTCCAAATTCTGTAACCAAAAATCAAAAAGGTTTAATTTAGCTTGGTTTGGCTTGAATTTCCATACTTATTAATAACTAGTTTGGATCTTATATCAAAGCTAATAGACATGGAGGGGTGCTTGGTACTAAGCTTTTAAAATTTTATTTTATTTTAAAGTTGAAAATAAAAAATTTACCAATCATGCTTTTACTTCTTTTTTCCTCTAAAGCCTCAACTAGCTACTTCTTTTTGTTTACTCTATAAATTTAGGGCTTATTTGGTGTAGATTGTGAAGACTTTTAAACCTATTTCACAATTTTAAAAGTCTTTTTTTTTACCAAAAAAACTTTTTGAATTTTTTTTTAATTTTAAAGTTTTAAAAACCAAACTTTTTAAAGTTTTAAAAGGCAAACTTAGAAGAGTTTTTACAAACAAAATTAATAAAAATAAATACATTTAATTTTTTTTCTTTTTCTTTTTCTTCTTTCCTCAGAATCATTCAAAAGACTTTGTACATTTCTATATACGTACTTTTCAGCTTTTTTAATCCATTTTTCTAAAAACGAATTACAACTATTTTGTATTTTTTATTTTTTTTTTGTATTGATACTTATATGCTAATATAAGTATTTTAATAATTTATTAATGTTATCAACAAGATTTAAATCTGATGTAAAATATATGTTTGACTAGTAAAAAATTATTTGTAATTTTTGAACATAACAGTTAATTTCTACAGTTTTTATAGTAAAAGTTTTTAAAGCTAAAAATTAATAGTAAAAACTAAAAATAAAAGTGATTATCAAGCAAGCTCTTAATTTTTTTTTAAAAAACTACGGGGTGCTTGGTAGGGACTGTGACTTGTTGCTGTTACTTTAAAATATTTTTTTTTTTTTAAATGTTGCCTTTTAAAAATAAATTGTGATTTTAAGAAAAGTAAAAGCTTCATTTTGCTAGCTTTTTTATAAAAAAACTCACGCATGAAGAAAAAATAGAAGTGGGGCTGTAAGAAATTTTAGGAGTTAGTTTAGGACTTTATAATAAAAGTTTGTTTGGATAATTAAGACTTTAAGGACTTTTAAAATAAAATAAAGTCTTAAAAGTCTTTGTCAAGCAGTCTCGTAGGACGTTTGTGAAACTTTTAGTTTTCTAAAGTCACAGTTCCTATATCAAAAACAAAAACTTTAAAATAAAAGTCTAAAGTAGCAGCTGTTACCAGGCTAGCCCATCATTCTCCTGATCTTAAATGGATCTCTCTAAGATGTGGAGGGATTAAAACTGAAGGTTAGGAGCCACAAGTTCATTCATTGTAAACCAAACTGAAGGCATGATAAATCAAAGCGTTTTTTATCTCATACTTTGTAGCGGAGGCTTTAACAATCAAGTCTCCTTGTCTGTCCGAGACTTCTAGCTAGAGCAGAAGTAAACTCTCCTTCAATGTTTATTCTGTTGCTCAAGCCCTCACCTTTATTATCAGCTTTGAGACCATTACAAAAAGAGATATAACCTAACAACATTAAGTGAATATCCAAAATGATGGTCATTTTATTTATATTTTTCCATTGTTGATTAATGACTTAAGGTTCTTTCATTTCCATATAAAGATATTTTCTTTCATGAGTCTCTTTGCCTACTCCACCAAAGATGGATACACTACTATGAGCTTTGGCTGTTGATCAATTCCATAATTAGTACTATTTTAACCACACCAGCCCCACTGAATAGTCTGATTTTTTCCCACTACATAAGGGGCCAAAAGATCTACTATTTTGATTCCTATGCGATGTATTTGTGATTCTATCACTTTTTTGTTATGTTTTTGGGCTTGCAATTGTATTGGTTCAACATTTGGCAAAATATGTTTTCACTATGATTATATAAAATCTGGTTTGACACCCCCCCCCCTCTCTAAAAAAAGTAATGAATTGGCCCATATCATAGCAAGTAATAATGTAAGATTTTTTTTTTACAAAATGGACCTTGTGCATAGCGTTTTCATACCCCATAGTAAAAAAAAGAATAATACACTTGAATTTTGTTGTGTAAAAAAAAATTGTCGATCAAAAGACAGAAATTGAAATGAGTTTGAACTTTCCAACGAAATTTTCTTGGAACCCTTACAATCAACCAAACTAAAGATGAAGAACAAAGTCTAAGGGAAGTCAACAAAAGACTCATTCAGAACCTACGTCAGAGTCTACATCAAAGACATTGATTGATGGAATTGGTTCCGTTAGAATTCTACATTCCATCAGAGATTGATAATTATTGCTGAACACACCTATGTCGCCAGTCCACTCAGATGCCTTACTAGTCTTTCTGGTTCCTAAATCAAACACAAGGATTGTTTGGTCGGCTAAATTCAGTTCATTGAAGTAGACACAGTTCCCCTTCATACCCGGAAGCTTCTTTGCCGAATAGCAAAGATTCCAATCAAACCCAAGAAACAACGCTCGGTCCTCTAAGTCAATAACCCAAACCCATCTCTTTTCGTCTACTTCTTGGAACCTAAATAATCTGAACCAACCACGTATACATATGTTCACAACCATACACTCCTGGCTTAAATTGCTGCACCAGCAAGAGCTCGTCTCCTGAGACAACCAGTCTCTCCTCGAAACACTTGTGAGATTGTTTGACGAGTAGATATCGTTAACTTCTAGTGAGGGTTCGATGACAAAGACATGTCCTCGTCCACTCATATCAACAACATAAAACTTTCCTTTGAATGAAACCATATCTCGATATGATCTAATTCTAAACAGACCCTTGAGTCTCATCCATCTCTTGTCACAGCTTCTATACATCATTAATTCACCCAACACTCCGGCTAACACTGCGAAATCTCCGTCATCTTTAATATCCAGGGGAAGAAACGCAACTCTCTGGGGAAACATGTCATTATGTGCTATGTACGACTGTACCGTCTCGATGATTGAGCATATAACGATATCTATATCGAATATTGTTATGAGAATCATCACATAACCAAAATGAAAATGAAACAGAGTTGCTAACACTACTAAAAAATATGCGTAAAAATCCATGGATTTTTTTAAAAGCCACCAAAAAACCACAGCGAAAATAGCCACAAAAGAGTAGTAACAAATACAGAGATAAAAAAGCATAAATTAATAGCTATAGCTTTGTGGTTATTATAGTTTTTTTCATGGTATTTTTGTGACTTTTCTAAAATAACCATGGAAAATCTGTGACTGAATCTGTAGGTGTAGCTATACGCATAATTTTTAGTAGTGTAATAATAATAAGAAGATAAGCAAAGCCAACCTTGTAGTGATGACCCAAGGGTATGATTTGGGACTAGTGTTGAGAACTATCCCATATGTTAGATGTCAAACCAAAATCTACTAATGGCGACCACAACTTCTGCTTACCTGATTTACCCTCGCGTACCCCAGCCAACAAATAATCATCATCGAAGGGAGTCTGGAATCTCATGAGGGAAATTGGAATCTTCTTTAGTATGCAATGCTTATCTCTTTTAAACTGAGGGTTGTCATTGAATATGGGAAGAAGGGTATTAACGGCTAAGCCGGGCCTAGAGCCTGGCAGAGGTACGGCAGACGGCCACGAGCTGCAGACAGAGCGAAAGTGAACAGTTGCAAAACATGTTTCAGAATGACCATTGATTCGTTCTAACAAGTCTTTGGGAAGTAACGACCAGTCTGCCATGGTTAGATCTAATATACAAAAGGAGCAATACTTTGAAGAGTAAAGATCTATGGGAGATGAAGATGAAGATCAACTCTATGTGTACGCTAACAAAACAATAAGAAAGTCTTTGTTTATGTTTTCTTTCCTGCTTTATCTACTTCAGCACTCAAGGCTGTCACAATGTATATATATATAAAGAAAGCCTTGGTTTATTTGGTTTTGTCCTTACTCTATTTTAAAAGAAAAGTTTAATTGAAGCAAAGGAAAAATTGATGTCCATAGCAAACCTATTAACCAAAAAAAAAAAAAAAATCAATATGGAGAAGGTTAAAGACGTCACTCAGGTTCACTTGATAAACTCATACATGCGTGTTTCTGGGTTCGGCAAGGTTACAAGTCCACATGACATCAGATATTCATCAAGATTTTCACCAGTATAGCCTCGACATTCAGTAATGGTATATTTATCCTTCTAGTTCTGATGTCAAACACAAGGATTGACTCATTGCTATAGTTGATACCCTCTTTTGATTCAAAGAACACAATGTGATTATCCGTCACTCCCGAAGCATTTTCACGGAGAAGCAGCGATTCAACTGTCCAAGGAAGATCATATGGTACTTCAAGTCATTAACCTGAACCCACTGCCTCCTCCTTATTTACCCACCCACAGCCTAAATACTCTGAACCATTTATACACATATTCATCATGAGACTCTACTGGTGTGAACCGTTGTACTTGCAACAGTTCCTCTCCTGACTTTCACTAAAAGATCATCTGACTGAGGTGACCTCGGTAACATGCGAAGAAGTTTGATGACAAGGACTTGATTCAACAGCACAAATTTTTCCTTTTAATGCAACCAAAACTTGATATGAACCATATTATTTTGGATGGCCTACAGTTTTTGTTATGGCTTCTAAACGTCATCAAATTACTCTGTAATTTATCTAGCACCATAAAATCTTTGCAATTTCACTATACAATTCAACAAAATTTAACCAAACAAATGTCTCAATGACAGTTTTATGCTTCATCAAGTCTCTGTGTTCCATCACACCTTTGTTAAAACCTGATAATCTTTTATAACCATAAGCTTTCAAAGCTTCTCCAATAACTTCTCCCCCAAGTATACTTTTGGATTTGATGTTCATTATAACCTTTTTGTAAAATATATCGATATCTAGTTCTCACAAATCTCTCAGAGAAATCAATCGCTGTCGCACGGGTTCAATCCTAGTTTATATGAATTGGGTAGCATTACTCTGATTTCAAATGGTTAAAACGACAGCAGTAGTGCAGACTACCGAACATAAGATCAAATTTATCTTATGGATGAAAAACTTATATTTGATGACTTAGTTGTATACAAGTCCGATATGGGACTTGGATTGATATCCCAACAAAAGCAAAGAATAGGTTGATTTTCATAGCAAACATTTAACAAACAAAAATAAAAATTCAATTTGGAGACTAGGTTAAAGAAGTCGCTCAGAATCACTTGATAAAATCACCGATGCTAGTCGCTGGGTTTGGCAAGGTTACAAGTCCACAAGACATCAGAGATTCATCAAGATTTTCACCGGTAAATGGCATACTTATCCTTCTAGTTCTGATGTCAAACAGAAGGATGGACTCATTGCTATAGTTGATACTCTCTTTCGATTCAAAGAACATAATCTGATTATCCATCACTCCCAAAAACATTTTCACCGAGAAGCAGCCATTCCACTGTCCAAGGAAGATCATATGGTGCTTCAAGTCATTAACCTGAACCCACTCCCTCGTCCTTATTTACCCACCCACAGACTAAACACTCTGAACCATTTATACACATATTCATCATGAGATTCTCCTGGTGTGAACCGTTGTACATGCAAAAGTTCCTCGCCTGACTTTCTCTAAAAGACTTGTGGGATCATCTGACTGAGGCGATCTCGGTAACATGCGAAGAAATTCGATGACAAAGACTTGATTCAATAGCATAAAAATTTCCTTTGAATGCAACCAAATCTTGATATGAACCATATTATTTTGGATGGCCCACAGTTAGTTATGGCTCTAAACATCTAAATTACTCAGTAATCTAGCTAGCACCATGAAATTTTTGCAGTCTCACTATACAACTAACAAAATTTAACCACCTCAAACTCATTCCACTAATTTCTTTATGAGTATGCTTATACAGTTTCTCATTTTCCTCTCTAACTCTAAATGTCTTTCATAATATAGGACTTCTGTTTCAAATCAACCAAAAAAAAAACGTCAAAGAAGTTACAGTTGATTCATATTAATCTAAGTAAACCCATTAAAACTTGTTTGTAAAAAACTTGTTCATCAAGAAACAGAAACCCTCCTAGTCAGATTTCTCGAAGGCGTCCCAGTTTTGGCCGCTTCTTCATCAGCGTTCATAGAACCAAGACTCTCAGAAGAATCCGACCCACCACCACCACCTCCATTGCTCTTCTCTCCTCCTTTGCTATGCAACTGCAACTTCTTACCAAATATCTTCTTTGACTTTATCAAGCTTTTCACTTTGCTCAACGCCGTGACCGTCGCTCTGTCCATGCTCTTCCTCCCACTCTCTTCCTGCAGTTTCAGCGCAGCTATCTCGCTCTTCAATGCTCTCATCTCCTCTTCCGTTGCAACCGCATCCCATTCGTCTTCCATTACCGTTGGCACTGATCTTGAGCTCCCATATGTCCCGCAGCTGCGTAGTTCCCTTATCATCCCTTTGGGCAAATCAGGTGTGCTACTTCCAGACGAAGCCGCCGCTCTCACTTGTTCAAAGAAAAGTACTTGGACCACCACACGAAGTGGAAGCCTGTCGTTTTGCACTGCGTGCATACACGCTTCTACCGACAATTTCCGACAATCCATCAGCTTGCACATCTTTTTCTTCTCTCCCTTTGTGATTCCTGCATGTTCCTGAAACCAAACAAAAAAAAACAGAACCAAAACAGAGAGATGAATCAGATTGGCTCTTAAGTTTAGTAAGACAAAAACATTTGAGAAAGGGATTTTTTTACTGATCTTTGCACCTTAAGGTACATGTCAATAGCACGGTAGAGTCCATCATGTGCAGGCCTTGAGATGCTAGAAACAACCTCAGCAAGATCGATGAATTTAGATGCAGAAAGATTCGGATCCTTTGCAATTTCAGTAAGGTAGCTATCAATCAGTTTTGCCACCATCAGCTTTGAAGCTTCGGATAAAATTCCGGGAAATTTCTTTATCTCCTGAACTTCAAACTTGTCTTCATCATCTTGAATCTCTATCTCACTGTTTTGATCTCTTGTCATGAATTCCAGAACTATCTTCTTCACTAAGTCCACATCGTACAATGTTTCGTTTCCTTGATGCGATTTTATCAAGAGTTCGGCTACAGAAGCCTCTTCGAGTTGTTGTCCTATTCTTTTTATAAGCTGTTCCTTCACCATCTCTCCAGAATTCAACATATTGACTGCTTTCAACAGTTTAAGCAAGAAACCGCAAGAGACGCTGTCTTTCTCATCTGGTAACAACCAAACAAGTGTCTCGATGACTGTCTTATGCTTCATCAAATCTCCTTGTTCCATCACGCCTTTGTTGAAACCTGATAATCTTCTATAACCATAAGCTTTCAAAGCTTCTCCAATCACTTCTCCGCCAAGTATACCTTTGGTTTTGATGTTCATTATAACCCTTTTGTAAAAATCGATCTCTAGTTCACACAAATCCTCGACCCACCAATCATTTGGAACTTCTCGAGTCCTGATTTGATCTGCACCGCTGTTTTCTTCACCTAGCTTCTTTCTATTGTAAGTATAAGACCACTCGACATGGGAAACATCGACACAGGCCTTACTGGCTATGGCATCAATGCAGAGACTAATCAACTTGAGATCCTCAGAGAGCGGTAAGAACGGTTTGGTGGTCTGAAGAACAATGATGGAGTCTTTCCAGCTACGGAAGAGACTCGAGTTTAGAAACACATCAATCTTGTAGATGAGGTTTCCTTTCTCGACCGTCTCGTGCATTCCAAGATACTCAGCTGCACATCTTGTGGCCACAACGTTGTAGGCACTTAGAGTTACTGTCATACCGTAACAGAATTTAGCACACGTCTCGAATGCTGTTGGACCACCGGGAATACCAGAGATATCAACCTCGTCGGTATTGGTCTTGTCCGTGCTTGAGAGCAACTTTTGCAGGCAGGCACACTTAGAAAGAAGAGGAAACTGCAGAGGATATACAATAATCATCAAAACTCAAGTCATAATCAGTTCAAGAATCAGATCTTGTATAAAATGCTAATACCGGAATACTCTTGACTAACCGATCAAATACAAAACTGATAAATTATAGGAAACAATTGGTTACACAAACGCAGAGAATGCCAAGTTAAGATGCACCACAACCATCGAGTACATAAACAGTCGTGCATAAAAACTTGTGGATATAAGTCATATGGAGACAACTTTTACATACCTTATGCAAACAAAATCTTGATCCTTCAACATTGACAGTAATGTCACTAGCCAGTTCATTTTCAACGTATCTGCTTGTGATAAAATCAGCATCTAGAGTCAGCGTCAGTTAGAATACTCTGTTTTCAATATGAAAGGCACAAAAGTGCAAGCACTTATATTCTATCTCTACATGACAAAGACCTGAAGGAAAAAAAATGAATTCTTCATGAAAACTTGATAATAGCCTCAAGCATTAGAACTTGATTTTCAAAAAGCTTTTACACAATGGGAGAAAACTCGGAACAAATAAATAATTACTTAACGGCTGCAATAAACAGAACAAGAAGAAACACAAGGACAGATCATAACAATAGATGTGAATAGCTAAACTTGATCAAGATTTGAATATTACCTGACATTGTTCCCATCGGTTTTGATCGAATCTGGCTTCGACCCAATTTTCATGAACTTCATCTTCCTCCCCCAGGAAAAAACTCCTGAAGATCTAAAGATCAATTACTTGCAGAGAAGGACCAAGAAAAGCCTCAAGAATCACAACCACTTCTTCTTTTACCATAATCAAATGCATTCCCCTTAAAATGGAAATAAGTATGTTCCAAGAACTGAGGGTGGGGACCAGATTGCTCCTTTTATGCAACTAACTTAACTTCTCCCCTTGGAGATCTAAAAGCACAAACACAGAGAGCGGAGAAAAAGAAAATAGAAAAAAACCAAAAGGAAGAAAACAAATCCTCAAATGCAGAGAACTGACTCTAAAAATAATTAGATTAACAACAAAATGAAACTTTTATATCCCTATTTATTAAATTGTTAACTTGCAGAATAATCAAATTAGAAAAAAAGGTTCTCCTTTCAATGGAAAAGCCAATCACAGAAGCGAATTTGCTTCCTTGTAGACCAACAGATGGCCGTGAACCGCGGCCAAACGCAGCAACCAAAGGGGACAATACCGTAGCAGAGTGTCTCAAGAGCAAATCCTAATCAAGAATCAAGATCCACCCCCCTTAATCACTAGTTGTACTTTTGTTTAATTATTTATAATTAATGTAATGCAGATTAAGATGAGATTAAAGAAATGGACTTTCACCTGTGTTGTGACTGTGTTGTGTTTCTTCAAGTCTCAAGTTCCAACTTTGAAGCACATGTTTGTGGTACTAGTTTATTCAAGCCGTAGAAGTTTGGGAACCTGCAAATTTTAAATAAAAGAAGTAAAACAGCATCTTGGTATCAGTAGAAGAAAACCACCACAACGGTAGACAAGAAGCATCTTTCAATTTTTTTATCCATTTAATTTTTATTAATTTTTTTTCCAATTAAACAAATGGAAGAATAATAATTAAAGCAAAACTGCAAAGTGGAGGTGCTTGTTATTAATCTTTAAGTTGACCCAACAGCTAAATCTGAGAAATTTACAAGAAAATTTCACAAAGTTGAATGTTTTTAGGTTTAGAAAGTAGAACCTAAAACCATAATTAACAAAAACCCATTAAATCACGAGAGTGAGATTTCAATATAAACAAAATTAGTGAATCTTAGAAGACACCTGGAATCAAAAAAATCCCAAACTGAACATAGTCTAACAAAAAAATATTTCTTCTGAATCTTTGAAACACACTTTATAAGATTATAAGACAGAACAGAGAATAAGGTTCAAATGTTACACACAAAAGTTTTCTTTATTATTCAAATTCAAAATTTGATTTTCGAAAGTATTTTGATGAAGTTAGCAAAATCTGTAGCCATTATCATAACCTTATATGAGTTTGGACACGCCAAATCTGACACACAAGTCTCTTCTCTTTTCTTCTTTTGAATTTTGTTTTTTACTCTTTTAGTTTGTTCATTTAATGAGATGACACCCTTTACGTTTTCTCTAATTAGCTAGTCACCAATCTTTCAAGAGTAATTGCACAAAATATCATCTGAAATTTAGAAATTAACTGACACAAAAACAACACTGTTTACAGCAAAAAAAACCCAATAATCTCTACTATAGATGTAGTCTAATCTTGGTAAAATAATCTTATAAATTTGGAGTTGTTAACTTATAACTAATTTTGTAGCTGTTAACTTTTTTTTGTCTGTTAACTTTATTTTTGTAACATATATTAACTTAAAATAACATTTTTGATAATTGTTAATGTTGTTAGAAGTGTTAAAAATAACACCTTTTAACATAGACTTCTCAATTTTCCCGATTTCATTATGATGGTTACGATTAATCGACTCCATATTATCATAGGTAACACCATTATCAATGCGTATTAACTGTTAACAATGTTATCAAGTTATAACTAAATTAGACAATTGATACATCTCTAAATCTTTTTTGTTGTCTCTTGAATCACATGAAGGCAACAATAAAGTTGGTAACAATAAAGTCGATAATTTTTCCTTTGCTTGACACACAGATTAACTGATAATACTGATTAAACACGTATGAGATTATCTTCAGAAAAACCAGATATGTTTTGCAAAACAATATTGAAAAAGCAACATTACTAACACAATAATGTCAACATTGTTAACACAACATTGTTAACATTGTTTAACACACAACATTTGTTATTTTTTTCTATCTCTAACCAATATATTATCTTCTACATATAATTGAGATATATCATCTTTTTTAACGAACAATTGAGATTATTTTGACAGGCAGCGATGAATTTTGTTGGAAGATATCAATTGTATATTTATATTTTCTGTGCCAAAATAAAAGGAAGCATTAAATGCTCACTACAGGCACACTCTCTCAAGTGTAGGGGTAGTCTCGCCCACAATGCTTTACGTATATTGTATTTGTTTCATTTTAAAAAAATTGCTTCCCATTTTCTTAATTAAGTTAACATCTATGGGTATTTACCCGCTTAACTCATCTTTCAAAAGCTGGTCCAGTCAAAAACCAAAAGGAGTTTTAATGGGAAAACATCGTATTTCCCCTTCTAAAGTTTCATATAGTAACATATCAACATGAAATTTTGCCCTCATCATATATCCCCTTTTGAGAAACTTAAAAACCTATTTCTCCCCGAATTAGAAAGTTCAAAACATATATAGTCCTGAAGTTAAAGTTCAAAACTAATAATCACCCAACCATGATTAAGTCAGTTTAGTGTTTACTAAAAAGAGTGTTGACCACTTAAAATCAAGCTTAACAATATTGCAACCCGATTAAACGTGTAAACCATGACCTGTAATCTGACCCATAATCTGTCCCCTAACTAAAACCCGAAACCAACTGAGTCTCCTTTGAAGTCTCAAGAACATTAAAATCGATTAAAAAACCAGTATCCTCAAATCGAGAGATTAGGGAGTGAGTGATTAGGGAGTGAGAGCTACTTGAGTGATGATGAATTTTGCAGAATAACAGAACACAAGTTGTCAATCCAATAACAGAGCACATGCTATAATTAGGTCCATTTCAAGTAGCAATAATGATAGAACATAACACACAAAAACAACACAACCTACTTGCTAACAAAGCCTCAACCTATGAACTCACCCAACAATGATCATGCATCCAAATAGTCAAGTAACATCATTTTCTTCATCTCAGATTTGGCTTCAATAGAACTTCTTGCGGTCTTTCAAAATTCTCCTTCTCTAACTTCATTTGGAGCTTTTCAAACATCTTCGTCTCAGCCTCCATAGAACTTGACGTAATCTGTTCCACCACTTGTTCAAGTTTTTCTGTTCTACATGCCAATGCCTCTATCTCATTCAATAATGCCTCATTAACCCACTTGAAAATGTTGCTATCATTTGAAAGCTACAAAAAATTGATAACCACAACAATCAAAAATTTGCATAATCAAAACCATTTGACAATGAAAAAAAAAGACATAGCAGTTTACCTTTTGTTTAAAGGCAAATGTACAACGATATATCTCTAGTAAGGACTGGAATCAGACTTCAAAATTGTTGGGGTCGGATTCTACCCCCTCGAGCTTAACTCTCGAAAATCACATAACTGTCATGAGTGGGTTTCACCAAGCCCAATCTCAGTAGGCAAGCCGAGCCCAATAAAAGATTTTCATACAAATAAACCGAGCCGAACAACATAACCGGATTGAACCGAGACAAAATTCAGTTCAGTCAAGCTAAATCAAGAAATGGGCCAAGCTATGTCAAGGAAGTTAGGTCCAAGCCGTGTGGACGAAAGGACCAGGCCGAGCTATATGAAGAGGAAGGACGATTGAGGCGCACCAGGACATAGAATTAGGCCGAGCCTGAGCCCAGTCTACTTATGTGGGCCAAGCCGAGGAGTGAGAAAGCCGAGTCATGAAGATGCGAGGCCCATTACAACAAATGCGATGTCTTCAGCTAGGTAAAATTCTAAGGCGGCGGCTGGAATAAGAGATGAGGAAATTTTCTGAGAATCTTTCCCGAGATTCTCGGCTAAGCGGTTCTCAAGATTGTATAAATAGTCAATGTAATGGATTCATTATGTACCTTTGGCAACCCTAAGCACTAAGACTCACAAATTTTTATAAGCAATAAAAACTTCTTTCGATATTGAGTTCTTGTGAAAAAAACCCTAGAGATTTCCGATCCCTCTTAATTTTTTTACAAGTTTTGATTGTGCGAGTTTGGCTCACACAATTTAGCACCGACTATGGGGAATCAATATTTTCTGACTCAAAAATTGAGAAGACCGTAAGATCCAAAGAAAATGGCGAGCCATACATTTGACGATGACGACAACAACAAAGGTGTGGAAAAGGATGCTCCCCCAGCAAGTACGACAACCATGTAAACTCAAGACGAGGTGAAGAGCATGTTAGCCGTGCTGATGAAGAAAATGGAGGAGCAAGACAAGAGAAAAGAGGCCATCACGGAGCGACTCGACGAAATGATAACCGAAAGGAGAGATCTAACCTGAGGAGTCGGAATCTCCGATCCGTCCTACGGAGTCAGGAGACGCTTTGATTTCTCAACTCCTGAAGGACCATCTGGTGGCGACACGCGGAACCCCAGAGCGCCTACGATGTTCCAACCCCTCGATGAGCAAACACCAGCGGCGACTAGAACAAATCTGACCGATCTTACCCCACTTCGTCGAGCCCTCAGACGGTTAGGTAACCAAGGAGGCACAGCTGCTAGAAACGAAGAAGGAGTCCAGATCGTCATCATCGATAGAGATGTACAAGGAGTCAAGGGCAGCGGAGGCTCGCAGCAAACCAGATCAGCTCGTCAAATCACGCAGGAAAACTCACCTCGATGGTAGATGGAATACAGATCAAAACAGAGGCAAATCCGAGCAGAGAGAACCTTTGATGGGTCGAGCAGAGAGAGCTCAGGGACGAGCCGAGAATGACCAGTCAGGGTCAACTTCGCGAGCCGCGGAGGATGACTCGAGCCCAAGCATAGGAGATGGATAAGCTCCGAGCTTCCATGGCCTGGAGAGTTGATGCAAGCTAGGGTTGATGTCGCAAAAGAAGTTTTAAATT